ATAAATACACGAAATGATGGGGGTTGCTTTCGTGTATTTATACCTGCTCCTGTATTTTTCACTTCATGCATCTGATGAAGTGGGTTCTAGCCCACGAAAGCTTATGCCCAAATAAATGTGTTAGTCTCTAAGGTGCCATAAGGACTCCTCGTTGTTTTTAGGTTCCTAAGTGACTTCTGAAAGTGGGACTTAGGCACTTTTGAAAATTTCACCCATAGCTTAATTTCATTAAACCAATAAATACATAGCTATTAATAGTGTGAGTTCAAAACCTTGATGATCACTAAGGGCTTTATTATAAATGTTCCCAGTTTTTGGCCCTTCTGTTCAATCTGGAGGCACTTCAGCAACACAGAAGTCGAGCATGTTTCTTTGAACCCCAAGACCCTTCCCTTGATCTGGCCACAGAACTCTTTATTGACCTAATCGGAGGTGTGCACACACACAGAACAAAGATCACCTACGGCCCTAAATGCTTTGTTTTTAAGGAATGAGTTATATGTATAGTTTCCACTTATGCCCCAACTTCAGCCAAATACCATTCAATAAATAAATTGCAAATAATGTCTGTATTTTAGTGAGTGTAATGTTGAGGTTTATTGAGAAATGTAAACTAAATACCTGTAATTTGTTTTTAACATAGTTCATTTCTGACTTCAGAATTTTTAAGTTAATGTCTTACTCATTTAGGTTAAATTCTATCAAGAAAAATGTAGTTTTTCAAAGAAAAAACCTGAGATGAAGCCCAACAGCTTTCTTTTGTTTGCAATTTTCCTTCAGGTGACATGACTCTGCTCAACACTGCAGACTGGTTGCTAAGTACTAGTACACAGACCACTGCAGGTTTGTGTAGCCATGGTGAACACAGCAAAAATGTTAGCATGCATTTTAAGATGATGTCAAAAAAATTTTTTTTTGAAAAGTATCTCATGCCCACTGTTTCCAGTCTAAGTTTAAGTTTATAGACGCGGCAGTAGTAATTCCTATAATTGTGGTTACCCTCAGTGACAAATAATTAATTTAAGTCTGTGAAAGAAATATCAGATAATTCATTCTAGAATCAGATATGCACTTAGGGTCAAATTCTGTTCTCAAATACAGGAATAATTCCAACTGAATTTAGTGGGAGTAACATAAGAATCCAAAGGCAGAATTTTCTCCTGAATCTGCCAGTGTATATTTCTTGCTCTGGGGAAAACTTTTTTTTTTTTAACTGATAATCGAGCTTTAGAAAAACAAGATGAATGGAGCGGGCTTTTTTTATTTTTTTTATTTTTTATTTTATTTTTTTAAATTAAGCATAAACTAAAATTATTTTTTCTTGCACACTCTTCTGAAGTAGGACCTGGTTTAAAATGAAATTACAGATTCTAGGGATGTACATTGTATATGGCTGCCAAATACGTCCCTTAAAATGCTACAGTATGAAAAATGTGTGGTTTGCTTTTTTGTTGCATGTGGAGTGGAAACGTGTTGTTAAACATTCACGTGTTAAATGTAATATGCGAAAATGACTGTTCAAGATGACTATGGGCCTCATTCTCATTTAAACAAAGGACCCCTTTACATCACTCTGCTGCTTTAAAGGGGCCTTAATGTAAATGAAAATCATGGCCTCAGGTGTATACATTTTTGCATGTTATAAGTTTGTTATAAAGATATGTTAAGTTTCATTTCACTATGGGTGTGAGTTGGGCAGAATTCCATATCCCAGAGTGCAAAATGTGTTCTGTAAATTAGGGGGAGGGAGGTATCTGTCCCAAAGTGAAATGGCCCTGTTTCAAACAAATGTTCTTTAATTCCTCTCAGACACGTTTTCAGACATGCCTCTTATTGATGTTGTACTACAAGAGGATGTGGTTGCTAGATAGATGACTGTTACTAGCTAATATTTTTAGCTTCACACTTAGTAGTAAGCTTTCAAAGCACTGAATGAGGATTTAGTTGTGTGATTGAATCATACAGTTTAATCCTTGCATACTGCTTTGATAATACACCCTTTAGATTGCTTAATGACACATAGTATGGCACCCACATTTGTTGCAATGCAAAATGTGCCCTGGTACAAAGGTGGGCCACACAATCTTAGACAATTATGAACACCTTGTAACCATGGCTGTCAGTGCAGAGATTCCATTTTATTAGCTATTTACCTGTTCCTAATAGGTTGGGTAAATTTTTCTACCCATCCAAAATAATTTCAAAGGAGTTTTGATAAGGCTGACTTATTCTTGCTTCAGATGCCAATTTCTCTATGAGAAGATCTCTCAAATTACGGCAGTTTCTATAAATCAAAGCAATATTCATTTAAATTCATGTCAGATCATGAGAGAGTCATTATGGCCTGTGTTGGTGTGTGGTGAGGAGGAAATAAAATTTGTTCATCATTTTAGGAAAAGCCAGAAATAATACAGTAATTTCTTACTGGTTCATTTGGTTTCTCCTATCCTAATATGCCAGCCTAGAGTGTAAATCCTCCTACCAGCAGATGGAGAGGGAACAGGGAAAAGGAGAGCTTCTTGTCATATACTTCTTTTTTAAAGAGGGATGGCTGTCTGGCTGACCCTGCTTAGTTGGAGGCTTCCCAAGCAATAAATTTGATAGTAACACTAAAAGGATTGTTTGAAAATGTTCAGGAAAAAGTCATCTCAGATACCAAAACAGAAGAGGATATCTGTAATATTTGTACTTTACCCCATTACTGTAGTATCTGAGTGCCTCACAATCTCTTAATGTAATTATCTTTACCACACTCTTGTGAGGTAGGGAAGTACTATCATCACCGTTTAACTGAGGTATGGAGTGACAAAATGACTTGACCAAGGTCACATAGGAAGTCTGTGGCAGATCAGGGAATTTAATCTGGGTTTGGGTCTACTGCTCTAGTCCCTTCGCTATTTTTCCTCTCAAAGAAGGGCTGCCATGGTAGGACTGACACAAAGGGACTAGGAAAATTCAAATTAACAGGTAAGAGATTACGATTCTTCAACTTTACTTTTTGCCAGCCAGCCAGTGGCAGTTTCAGCAAGTGTCCAGCTTCTGAATGCATGGGGTGGGTACAGAGAAAAGGCTGAGTTTAGCAAACCATCCTGCACCGCAGCCACCTTCTGAAGGAGCTCCCACAAGTGGTTGCTACATTAGATTGCTCATTCTACCAAGGGATAATCACTTTGAAACTAAGAATTAGAAATGACTCTCAGGGAATTAACCTAGGCAGAAACCGGAATCTCTGCCCACTTAAAGTGTCTTTATGCAGTATCAAACCAACCAAAAATAAACAGGGGATCTGTTTTTTCTAATTTACAGCATTCTCTTCACACTAAGGGTCATAGAGGTGCTTCTGTCTCATTTTGAGGGGCCAGATAGGAGGGAAGAGAGATTTCTGGTCCCAAATAGATGGGGGAAACCAGATAGCAAAAAATTAGGTTGAGATTTTCAAAGATGTCTAGTGGCACATTTAATTTCAAAGGCAATTGGATGTCAAAAATCCCTTAGGTGGTTTTGAAAATCTCAGCCTTAATCTGTAAAGTATCTGACTTGATGGAGAACCAGGATGAGATGCCTTCACAAAGGCAATAAAAGCTCCCCACTGTCCTGGCCAGGCAGGCGACCATTAGGTAGTGTTAAGACTGTTGAATCTGAATCCTCCTTCACGGATTCAAAAGAAAGCACTGGGACTGTTTGGCATGATCTTCAAATACCACAGGGTGCAAAATGTTAGATATTAGACTGGTTGTATATTTAAAATTAAAAAAAACCCAAATTATCCCTTCTGGATGTCAATTTGCAGAGGAAAGCTGTACCTTATATTTCAAGATCCCATAGCTACTTCCTGGGTGCTATGGAAGTTGACTTTCTTCCTTTAACCAGCCCATATTGAGGGAAGGCAAGTTTGTTAACTATGTTGCATGTTCTCCAGACTCTGTAACACACATACAAACAGAAGTCTTTATTAAAAAGGATTACATTTAAAAGCATGTTTCACTACCCAAAAGTATTACATTTTCTTTACAAATATTCTCTAACTTAAAAACAAAAACACTTAGTCTGGAAATAAATCCCACTCTCATAATTCTTCTTTATTCACTTACTGCTCCACCTGACTTACGCTGTCCAATCAACTTTTACGTTACTTCTTTTTTTTCTTCTGTTATATAAATATATGTTTGGATACATACTGTAGATATTATATATTATTTATTAAATGTGTAGCTCTGTAAGGTGTCAGTGTGATGTGTTGGTGGAGTAGAGGAATATTTTAATCTACAGAAATGAAATAATTGATTTGTTTTGTATTATGAAATATGCTGAGCATATGGTGGGGCCAGTTTCTATTAGCATACAATATGTTGAGCTTGTGGGTTTGTATTTTTAATAATATAGCATCTAGAGCAGCTTTTTTGCAGTGGCTAATGTTGTAGTCTAATTTTATAGTATTTAGGAAATGGATCCCTTTAATAGGAAGTAGCGTTTTTCAAATTTTAGTAATTTGGTATGTTAACCATTATGAATAATCTTGTATATTATAGGGAGCAAAATTAAGGTTTAGTGGATGATGATAGTCAGAGAGGTAAATGGCCAGTGAAGAAGAATTCATTGGTAGTAGGGGAGTGTCTGGTTCCATCTTTGTTCCTTTCCAGCTTCTACCACTTGGCTATTTTGAAGTTTCTAGATCTCATGATTGTGAAGAAAAGCTTGTAAAGGTTAAACAAGTCTAACTGATTCAAAGACATCTGCCTGTGCGCATATAGTGCTCCTGTGAGAATTCTGTGCCACCGCACATGCGCAGAATTTATGTCCCCCACAGATTTCTTTGCTTTCCTGCAGAAAAACAACTTTCTGATGGGGAAGCAAAGGGAAGCCACAAGAGTGGTCATGCGACCCTCCCCAGCAGTATGTTTCGGGTGCCCAGGGCCCCAATCACTGTGGGGCAGGGGATGGGACTGGGACTGGGGAAGACCCAGCTCTCTACCCTGCTCCAGGTTCAGCTGCTAGTCCTGACTGGGTTGGGAAGAACGGGACTTTCTCTTCCCCTGCACGGCATCTGGAGCTGGGTCAGACCCTCCCCCAGCTTCAGGAAGCCTTGCAAACTCCCCCCACCCCAGCTTCCTGCTCCCATCGTTCCTCACTCCATCCAATCCTTGTGCATCCAGACCCCCTCATACCCAGACCTTCCCGCTGATCCTAACCCCCCTGCACTGAGAAGCCCCACTCCCCCTGGACCACCCCGACGAGCCACCCGAATCCCCACCCCACGGAGCCCCAATCAGCTGCACCTGGATCTCCACCTCACTGAGTCCCACTCCCCCAGCATCTAGATCCCCCCCACTGAACCCTCCACACCTAGACCCCCCGATGAGCTCTATCACCTCCATATCCAGATCCCCCCTGCTGAGTCCCAACCAAATTGCACCCAGAACCCCCCAGTAAGCCCCTGTGCATCCAGATCCCTCCCACACCTGGATCCCCCACTGATCCGCCCACACCCAGATTGCCCTATAGAACCCTCTCAACCCACATGTGGATCCTCCCACTCTAAGCCCCTCCACACTTGGATCCTGCCTTTCTGAGTCTGCCTGCCCACACCTGGTGCACCTGCCATGGAGGGGGGGTGCTTCTAGGACAGTCCTAGTCCTAATGCTGTGTCAGGGTTGTGTGCAGCCTCACCGCTGAGTCCGTGTCTGGGGTGGGGGGAGCTGCACAGTGATCTCCCACCTCTGTGCAGCCAGTGGCCTGTGCTCCCCAATGCCATGCTGGAGTCTCCACATTTATTTGACAAATAAAATTTGCAGAATTTTAAAATATTGCATGCAGAATTTTTAATTTTTTGGCGCAGAATGCCC